GGATGCAAAGCTTTCCACACACTTCCTAGCACACCATCAGCACACTGTATGTGTTATTACCTTTAGTAAGTCCTCAACAAATACTTGTTGAATGAATAAATAATTGAATGTATTTTTTACAATTCTATAATGTTTCTGACACTTACAAATGTTCTTTTTTTCCTCTGGATGTTAGGAGCTACAGAATAATGAATATGACACCATATTGCCCACCCTCCCTAGCCCAAACCACCCCACACCACAGCTCTGCTTACACTTTCCTACACTTTTCTAGATCTGTTCATATTCCTTTAGAGCAGTGGTTCTCAACCTTCCTAATGCCGCGACCCTTTAATACAGTTCCTCATGTTGTGGTGACCCCTAACCATAAAATTATTTTCGTTGCTTCTTCATAACTGTAATTTTGCTACTGTTATGAATCGTAGTGTAAATATCTGATATGCAGGATGTATTTTCATTGTTACAAATTGAACATAATTAAAGCATAGTGATTAATCACGAAAACAATATGTAATTATATATGTGTTTTCCGATGGTCTTAGGCGACCCCTGTGAAAGGGTCGTTCGACCCCCAAAGGGGTCGTGACCCACAGGTTGAGAACCGCTGCTTTAGCGTCTCTATATCCCATCAAGGCATGTCTGGAGCAAAAGGACATTTCGTTGTCCTAACACTGGATAGAGTCACGTTCTCTCCATCCTCCCTCACCTTCAGCCTACCTCCTGAGGACCACGCGGCTACCTTGTAATCATTCCTACATGGGAAAATACTTGGTTGATTAAGCTGGCATCCAAGGAGCAAGCAGAAAGGCAAGAAGACAGGATAAAACCACTTTGTGTTCTTTCAACAGTGTGGGGAAATCTACAACAGGAGCCAGGTCAAACCTAATCAGTCAGGAAAGAGAGATTGGGTTTCATCAGGCAGCAGACTGGCTTTGAACAAAACCAAAAATGATCAATATGACAAAGGGTTCACTGTATAAATGAAGCAGCCAACAAGTGTTATAGCGTCTAATAAGGAAGCATTTTAGTTTCTGAAGTATAAGACTTCTGGACTCCCAGGGAAAGATGGAAGGAAAGATTTAGAAAAATTACAGAAAATGCATTAATACTACCCATGACTTTCAAGGAGCTGGAGAATTCTTCTTGGTGCATTTAAAACTATACTCAGTAACCTCACCAGAACTCTGATATATCCTCCTTTGAAATCACACACACACACACACACACACACACACACACACACACACACACACACACCATGAAAGTCACTGGTGCTATGATCCATGAGTATAAATGGAAGTGTATCTCGTATGTCAGGAGTGATGTCAGTGGGAACGCAAGACTGGGAATCCATGGTGGTGGATAGGGCACTGGACTAGAAGACCAGAAATCTTCATTTCAACCCAGTCCCTTTGTGACTGTGACAAGTCATCCACTTCTTTGATCTTTGCCTGTTCTAACTGCAAAAGGATCACAGGCATTTTTGTGCATTTCTCCTGTCTAGCATACTTGTAGAGAGGAGTAAGATCACACACATGGAGACACTCTTCAGACGACGAGAATATATGCATACTTTATATTATCAATAGTAAATATCAGATTCAAAAATTCTGTCAAAAGGCCAGAAGAGTGTAATTCCTCTGTAGTGATAACAGTTATTTGTACTAAGTGGGCTTTGAATATTGAAGGTATTTTTAAGCAACAGGAGGTCACTATATAATCACTCACTACTAAATATTTTCAAGGTCTTGTTCAAGCTAGTTTTAACTTTATTGAAATAACAAGTCAAAGCTTTAAAATAGATATTAATTAAAAATCCCTTTCTATAGTAGATACAATGTAAGCTTATTCTTTGTTTATAAAGCATGTAGTTCACATTGAAAGAAACAAGTGGTTTCTGATTACAAAGCATATTGAAAAATACAACCATCATCAGATAGCGTGTGTTGTATAAATAACACTCAATCATGTGAGTCAGCCAACTACTGTGGATACAAATATATTTTTTTCAGTCATGCTGGCTATTAATCAATGGTAACACCAATGAACAGAATGAAAAATTTCATCCAAAACTGACTATTGAGGTGTTGCACATACTGCCCATTCATTGTCCACATAATTAGTCACATTAATAGCTTCAATAAAAGGGCTTTGTTCTTTATTTTTTTTCTGGTTTCTTGGGTACTTAACAGTGTTTTATGAAGGGACCTGAAATCTTTTGTGATTTGAAACTTGGCTAACATGAAAGTCACACCTGGAATAAATAGCTGGAGCCATACTGAGTCTTTTATGAGCATATCAATCCAGTTATATTAAGTAAACACTGTCATCAATTAAAAGGACACACTGCTTTCTGAATCACTGTGCCTAATGGCATTCAGGAAGTGTCAACAGCATAGGGTCAATATGTAGACCTTTCAGAACAAGAGCCCAATTTGCCACTTGATTGTGCTGCTTAGACTTACTACCTATTCATGTCCAGGTTCCTGAATAGTTTCCTCTTTTGAATGTTAGAAACCAGACAGAATCAGCAATCAATCAGTAATTATGGAAAGAGCACCCATTTTACAAGCTGAGCACTGAGTTAGTCTACGTGGATTTTGACTTGGCTCCTCTCTAAGACAAAATACTCTTTCTACTCTTGAGGAGATTACAGTCTAGTGGAGAAATCAAAACATATAATTGGAAAATTAAATAGCTATGCAAAATGTAATACAGTGGCTGAAGTATAAGAAACTTCAAAAAACAGTAACTTATTCAATGCTAAATGAATAATAAATACTGAGACCAGTGGTTTGCAAACTGTGCTCCAGGTAACTCCAGGTGTTCAGCTGGAGGCAGCTCACAAGTGTACAGCAGAAAAGAAGAGAAGCACCAAATAAGTACCAGCTAAATCCACCATCCAGACTTCTACCCCCAATCTTTTTTTTGGTTTTCCTTTTCTATTTTTGTTGATTTATTTTTTGTAGAGGATCTTCACATACAATTTCATATCAAGAAAGGGCCTCAAATTTATGATTTTAGAAACCACTGATACATTTTTAAATGCTATAGATTTCAAAATCACATAGTGTAATCTCTATGACCTATTGTGGTATCAGAAGGTTCCTTGGTGGAGAAAGACTGAAGACTTGACAGATGTAAATCATTTGGATAGTTAGAAAATTTCCAGCTTAATGGCTTCTATAAAAAACACTAAGATACCTGAATAAGTGGTAGCCCAGGTGCTATGCCGTGGTTAGGGTGTGGTATTTATAGTCTAGATTAGGTAAAGTTGCTGTGCAAGAGTGGCTGCATGACTCCAGTCACCCCTCTTCAAGTTCTCAGGAAAGACAGTATCATTAGCTGTTACCAAGGAGTTTTAAGCCTTGAGATAATCAACAAGGAGAAAGGGTAAGTAGAAGTAGGAGAACTCCAGAAAGCCTCTACAGGATGTGACTATTGCATATACTCTATTCACTGGTCTAGGAGTCACGGGAACAGACGTCTGAGATGTACTGAAATACGATGAACTCCATCAGTCACATATAGTGCTTGTCGATGACAAGTGATCTTGAAAAATGGAAATAAAGAAAGTTTCTCTGCTTTCTTTGACTGTTTGGTAGAGCCCAGTAATGAGATGAGTATTCCTCCAATATGTTCTTAGAACATGCTCATGCTTACCCCAGCATTATACACACTATTATAATTGCCTGGTTGTCTTTTTGTTTTGTTTTGTTTTTTGTTTTTTTTATTGTTGTTACATCTCAAGAACAGGGCCTGTTTCTTGTTCACCTCTGCATCTCTAATTCCTGTAATACAGTTAGAGGATTAACAAACATTTCTTACCTGTTTAATGAAAAATATGCCTGTCAGACTCAGGATGGACTTACCTATTGGTCAGACTCAGGAAAGGTGTGCATTCTCCATGCAAAGATTTTGAGTAAAATAACAGGAGAATAGAGGAAGATGAGACCATTGATCCAGGACTCACACCATGAAAGTGGGTGGGAGGCTAACTAGAAATAAATCACACAGTAAGGTCATGAGAAGCAGATCTCCATGACAGAGGCTGAAGTAAAGGAGCCCTGGAAGGTGGTTCTGATCTCAGCCCATCGTGGCCCCTAAGGCAAAGAAAGCCTGGCTGATCTTATTAAACGTTGGGGCTGTTATCTCTAAACAGGTTCTGCAACATCAAATGCTGAGTGCTCTTCCATCTACACTTCCTCTTCCAAATATGTGTCCGAAAAGGAGAGAAGTAAATGGGATGGAGTATAGCTGTGTGGTTCCCCTTGAGCCTCATCCCCTACCCAAAGGGAAATTGTCAATATTTAACTTTGTGTATATAACCCTTCCATAAACTTTTTATATAACACCTGATTTTCAGAAATCTGGTTATATCTGCTGTTCCCTAGGGGAATTTCTTTAATTGTAGAGGTGAGGAGTTTTCCTTCTCTAAAATAAGTCATGTTGGTCATACATCCCATGGATGAAATTCAATGATAACAAAACCACCTCCCGTCCAGCTACCATTGAGGTCCTCTAGAAAACAATGCTTCTCTGAACAGTGTTGCCAATATAGCTGAACTTGACCCAAACACTAGCAAAACACTCAGGTCTTCCATGATTATCCTTAGAGTTACTGGGCATATCTTCTTGTGGATCACACTCATCTACTCTGAAATTTTTTAAGTCAATTATTTTATTGAGGGAGATAAATTACTCAAATGTTAACTTGTTGTAGGCAAAGAAAAGAAACATATTAAAAGTTAGGTGTGTTGATAAAGGAATCAGAGTACTAAAGGTTCTGCCCAACAAGTATTCTGAATCCAGGGTTTCTGTATTTCTCCATGCCTAAATTTCTCCTGGGTCACTTGCTATTCAAAAGATTCAGGAGACCAAATGAGATAGGATTATTTTGGTTTTATCAACCAAGAGTCTTCAGATCTTCTCTCAGCCAAGGCATCCAGTGATAATATGATTTATGCTTCAGATTCTTCTGTAGGATTGGAAAGTCTCTTTCACATCGCATTACCAAGCTCCCTGGTCTTGGTCCTCTTTTCCATGTACTCATTCTTCAAGCATTTTCTCATCTCCTGATCAAGATCATTGCAATGACCAAAAAATTTCAGAATGCTGTGATTTTTGTGAAATTCCTTAAGTGTTAAGACATTGCATTCTTCAGTGTTCAAGTGTGGAGATAAGTCAGGATGCATCTTTCGGAGAAGGTGATGGAGCACAGCAGAGTAACCCGCCTGGCAGCTACACCAGAAAGGCTGAAGTGGAATTCACCAGCGAAGATGCCTCATCCCAAGGCACGCTGGCCAGGGTGCCAGAGCCAGGCCATCTCCACAAGGAGAACACTCCTATGCCCTCCACAGCTGACTCACTTTACTCTGAATTTTTAAGGTATAATTGTTATAACATAGTATAATATGACTGTTTGTTTAACTTAACATTATTGCTCATGCTAATTAATTGCCTGATCTTTAGAATCAAAACCAGAGTCCCCTAGTAGCCAGGATGAAGACCCACAGCTGATACAAACAAGGGGGCTGGAGCCCAGGAGAGGAAACTTCATTTATTCTGGCAGGAAACCCAAAAAGGGAATCTGAACTAGGAGGCAGACAGCTTCTACAGTAACATAAGTACCAAAGAAAAGGATGAGAATATTACAAAATACAGAATACATAAAAATGTAACTATTTGAAACCAAATAGCAGCTCTGTCCTTTAATAAAGCACTATATTGCCTTCTCAGAAAGCATATATCCTAAATTATAATAATTCAGATTGTTTTTGGTTCCACTCAGAAACATTTTGTTAAAAGATTGCCTTACATTGTATTTGAAAAATATAAGCAGACTTTTACCAAATATAGATACAAGGATCATAAACTGAAAATAGAAACCAGAAGACAGACTCAGTGGAAACCAAGGGAATAGTGACATTGTATTACACTTGGCAGTGAAGAAATAGAAATCTATGGTGATTTACTACCTTTACATAAGAATAAAGAATTGGGCGAAAAAATATTTAAACTATCAAAAATAGTAAGACACGTCTTGGCAGTAAGTAAGGAAGAAGATTTATTTAACTGTGGAGAAGGTTGGCAGAAAGGAACTAAAATGAGAAACAATAATATCACATATTAACTTTGTTCTTAAACATCCACATTTAATGTATCAACTTTGGCTGTTGTTATATGCCTTGGCAACTCAATAAAGTTACTGAAATGGAAAATTGAAAATTTTTATTGTGATATTTCCAATTTCTCCTCTAGTGGAATAGTTTAATAATAAGCCATTACATATGCTTTCAGCATTCTCATTAAAATGAGTGAGCTATCATTTTTCTTTCTATTCCTAGTTATCAGCAACTTTATTTACCAGTGCGTATTAGGTGGAACGCAAAGCTCAGCTAACCACTGTGGTTGTACTTTCCGAATAGGCAAGTATTATCTATTCTAAAGCAGGGAAAAAATCCTAAGTAGTTTCATATTCCATATTTCATTGTATCAATGAGGAAACTGAGGCTCAGAAAGGTTAAGTAACTTGTCTTCAATCAATAGCTAGTCGATGGCAGAGTAGATGTCATGCTTCTAGAATGTTCTACTACAGGAGACTATCCTAGAATCCAAATATTATTTCAGTAGCAGTTGTTGAACACTGGCCTACACATTCCTGTCTAGCCAAAAAAAAAAAAAAAAGTGGCTGAAAAGGATCCTTAATTTATTGAAAGCCTACTTCATCATTATCACAGGGAATACCAGATTGCAAAGGACTCAGATTCCAGTTATATTCCCCAGTACTTGGGAATGGATATTTTCCTTGTGGCTTTTATGAATCTGCCCTCACCTTTTACATGTTTTAATTGTCTATAAAATGTCTCTCTGCATTCACATCAGAGTCGTGTGGAATGTCAAAGACTCCCTAATTTGTAAGGTGATATCTTCATAAAGCTGCATTAATTCATCTATTGGTCTTTGCAGAGTAAACTTACTTCTAATCTGGTACCTGCCATTAAGATGCTCATATCACTAATTTATTTCCTTTTTAAACAGCAATCTGTGCATGCCATCTTTGGCTCAGGGTCAATATAAAGCATTTACATTAACCATTAACCCTCCTGAGGCAGTGGGCTTGATTGGACGAGAAGCCAAGTGGAGCTGAAAGAACCAGGAAAGGATCCAACTCTTAGTTCAGTAAGCCCTGTGACCTTGAGCAAATCATTTATCTCCTCTGAACCTTTCTTCATGTGCAAAAGGTAGGACATCAGGTTCCTGACCCCAAAGATCTAAAACTCTGCATTTCTAAATTGCTAATTTTTAAGCCAAACTTATTATTTTTTATGCTTGTATCCTAAATTTCCAACCTATGTATTCCATACACCTGGCACAGATTTCAGTCCTAGCATTGAGACAAGTAACTAAACTACAATAAAATGTGATGTCTCCCTTACCATATTGTGAATTCCGTAAAAGGTTCATTCATTTTTACAAGCTCAGTGCCTGGCAGAGGTGACATTCTATAAATGTTTGATAGATGGATGGATGGATGGATGGATGACTGCCACAGCACAATAGTAAGAAAAGCTTAAGTGTATGAGTTTATATTATCTCTGTAAATAGCCCAGAGATCATTATCCGCAACCTTATCAGAAGAGCTAGCACTTAAGTGTAATTTTGCCTATTTACAGCTTAATGGACTTCACAGTACATCTCTTATAGCCTAATCTCTTCCTGCCTAATGTTATACTTTTTTTTGGAGGGGCAGGGGGAGGTGCCAGATAGCGAACCTAGGCCCTCAAATATACACATAATCTTATACTCTTTAATTTCCTTCTTTTTAAAAAAAAAAATGGTTTTATTGATGAGACGGAGGGAGGGAGGGAGGGAGGGAGGGAGGGAGGGAGGGAGGGAGGGAGAGGGAGAGAGAGGGGGGAATCGGCTGCCTCCTGCGTGGCCCCCCAATGGGGACTAAGTTGGCAAATCAAGTATGTGCTCTGACCAGGAATCAAACCAGCAATTTCTGAGTGCATCTGAAAGATGCCCAACCAACTGAACCACACCAGCCAGGGCAACCTTCCTGCTTGACCGTGAACTTTCTGAGAGCAAGATCTGTGCCTGATTTATCCTGCCATTCTGTACCTATTCATCCTGCCATTCCGTACCTATTCACTGCACTTATGGGGTCTTCCATCAATTTTAACCAATTAAATTAATTTAAAACAGAGTAGTTTCAATGTAATTGTGGCCATACAAAGTAAATGATACATTTCATAACAAATTAATTTTTCAGGGAAAAGAGTTTGGAATAGGTTATCTTTGATGATAAAACTCTGACTTTTTGTCCTTTACCCTTTAAGAATTTCAAAATCTCACCCCTATAAAAATCTCTCAATTTTAGTCACTTCATTTTCCTTTATATGTGGTCAGTTCATAATTAATATAACATAGTTAGGTCTAATGGAATCTAAAAGATCTCCCAAAGGAGAAGAAACATGAAGAGTCCTTTTTACTTCAGTTTACAAATAAAAGTCGCAGTACAGTTGTAGTATTTGCATAGTTTCAGTTTATATAAAATCCAGTGGCATGGCAAAAGCATTCCTCTTGCCTTGCATGCAAATCATCTCCATGTTACTTCAATAGACTCTCTGTCAAACGTTAATAGTCCACCACTCTGAGTGATATGGAATAGCAACTGAATATTGAGTCCTGGTAGAATGTCCTACCATCTTTTGACTTATTATCATGTGATTTCAGTGTATTTACTTTAGGAAGATGTCTTTTTATTCCCAGGCATATACATTTTTCTGGTTGAGGGTTGCTTTCCCTACATTTAGTTCTTTCTCTTTTTTAGGCAATGTAAGTTTCACAACTTTCACACATTCACAATTCCATACTGTCATAAACAATCTATATTAACACATATACAATGTCAATATTTTCTAACTCAGTTTTTAAATAGTCATCACAACTTTAAGTATGCTATTAATCCATTATGATTATTGTTACAAATATGATTTCTTCATGGGGATCTTCACTATTATAAGCAGTACTTTATATTACTGTTAGAAATATTACCAATAAACCATAATTGTTAGGACACCATTATTGTATTTACTATTTGTTTTATCAGGTCCTACATTATCAACATGGACATATTTATGTCTAAACTAGAGGCCCAGCGTGCACGAAATTGTGCGCGAGCAGCTCGCTTCCGCTTGCCTCAGCTGGCCACCCCGCCCACTGCCACTAGCTCACGCCCCACCCTCCACCACTAGTAGCTTTCCACTGCTAGTAGCTTTCCACCACTAGTAGCTCATGCCCCACCCATCGCGAGAGCCACTGCTCCTTTGGTCTTGAAAGCAATATGGCGTCACAGCCATAGGCCTTTTATTAGTATAAATAGACTTCAAAGAAACCAGATTATCCCTTACTCCTCAAAACTTGCTGTCATGTTAATAAAAATAATAGCTGAGATTTATTAAGCACATGCCATGTGCCAATTACTGTGTTAGCACAAAATGCGTTAACATAGATCATGTCATTAATGTTCCCAAGGCTCTTACGGGGTAAAAGCTTTAATTAAGCCCATTTTATAGGGAAGAAAACTAAGGTTTAGACAGGTTAAATAATTACTCAAATGCTTACAGCTAGTAAATGATGGCGCTAGAACTGAAACCCAGTCAATTTCACTCCAGATTATTATATTTGGGGAAGAGGATGAATCTGTTCATTTTGGAAGATACCATAATTTTTGTATTTGCATATCAAACTCAAGTTTGCATATCATTTGAAAATTCTGTCTTCAAATCAAAAGCACATAGAGAGTGCAAACTGAAATATTTGCAATAAGAATTACAGGTTATCAAAAATATAATGAATCATTATTACTGCAAAATTATCAGAGTACATCAAAGTAGGAACATAATGTATTATATAATTATCAGCATAGTTTTCTAACTGTGAATTTGCTAGTGTTGATTGATTAATTTTATACTTAAGCTTATTAACTGTATACCTTAGCAGATTTTTAGTGTCTGAGGTTTAAAGTTTAATTTCTTTTCACAAAGATTAAACAAAGATTTTCTAGCTGCCAAGGATAATAAAGCAAAAAATGATTAAAAGTAAATTTAACCACAAAGATTTTGATAGTACCACATTACATTATATCCATCTATAAATTGATTTTTATAAAAAAGCAAATATGGAA